CCCCACAAGGCCCTTAAACAGGGGCGCGCCATCCGGCGCGGGGAGCCTTACCTGCTCCCTGTACCCCGGAGAAGAAGAAGAAGAAGAGAGAGAGAGAGAGAGAGAGAGAGAGAGCGCGAGAGAAGAAGAGAGAGCCCGAGCGAAGTTTCCGGGGGAGCGGGTGTCCCGAAAGAAGCAACGAAGAAAGAAAGAAGCCTTGCTCTCAGGGAGATGTGGACCGAGACGCCGTCGCTCAGTTTGCAGCAAGCCAAAGGGCTCAAGCTCTAGATCCAGCATGGTCAGAACTGGTCTTGTCTCGTCAGTGGACTTCGTCGGACTGGAATGCAAGTCCGCAGCTCATGCATTCAGCATGTCGGTAAGGCATGGGGGCAAGAAGAAGGCGAAACCGGTCAACAAGGATCGTCACTTGGTGGCAAAAAGCCGCAGCCGTTGTCGCAACAGGATGATCTGCACGACGTAGCGTAGTGATATGTAGTGATCGTGGACAGTAGCTGGTGGTAGACTCAAGGCAACGATGATCTCAACATAGCTTCTCCGGCTAAAGCACAAGCTGTAAACAAAGCATTCGAAAGCCAGCTGCACGCTCAGGATTGTTGTTTGAACAAGTCCTGCGGCACGCATTTCTGGAGGGGGTCGAGGTCAGAAAAACATGTGAACGGTACAGTGCCGGCCAGCGCTGCTTTAGTCTTGCAAAGCGGCCCAGTGTTCATCTCAGGCTTCATTAGTAAGATGTTCCTGCGTGGCGATTCGGACACTCGGCAAAATTGGAATTGACTGTTCATAATTGTTCATCGCTATGTTTTGCGAACACGTAGAGCTCCCGCAAGCGCATGTCCTCCTACCGCAGGCAAGAGCCGCAGCACAGGTTTTTCCTTTGCATGCTGCAACGCAGTTTGTGGGCTTTGAGCTAGACCTCGGGTTCATGGCCGCGGTTGTCCGAGAAAAGAAAGCCTGAACCACAACAGCGGCAATGAGAATCAACAACCCATAATGCGGTGCCCAGTAGCTATCATGGCAATGGGAGGGGGTTCGACCTCAGGAATACAAAAGTCGCAGTCCGAGCATTCTCGCAATCATGGCCATCTCAATGAACCCGAAATCTCCCTCGCTCATGTAACAGTAGCAAGCTCGGACCTTCAGAGTCCATGCCTGCCTTGTGCGAGTGTGTGAGTCGAAATCTTACAGCCCTTGCTTACAAAGCCTAAACGCCATAATCACGAGAAGCAGATAGACCCATTCGCCCGCAAGGTCATTCTTGTGCTTCGGAATCCGAAGTGAGCCGTGGGAAAGTTTTGAGCCAGGCGACCAGAACAAACTATGCAGCAACACTAGAAATAGCAATGGTGCAGCAATCCTAGAGCAGATGCTCGTGTCGATGTGGGTATCCGGAGCTAGTGTTCACAACGAGACGTCGAGGTCTAATTACACATTTTCATCATGCCAGGCTAGAACGTATGAAGCAATCCTCCGGCTGGCAAGTCTGGAGACCGACCTCAGTTTGTGGCCTTCGTGAAGCACAGCATGGCATCAGACGTCCTCACCCTAGGCTTCTGAAGAACAATTCCGTGCTGCCATCTGTGTCAAGGGAAAGGGCAAGCCTCACATTCGACCAACTGCGCTGCGCACACTTCTATGGCACTACCCGGTGTGAAGAAAGCGAGGGCAGAGATTGTTTGACAGCTAGACTTGCCAAAGCTGCATCTTGAGAAGAGTGCATGTCGTGGTCCGTTCAGGCTGTGCTAGCCAGACGCATCACATCAGAGCACATGCCCGTGGAGGTGGCCGATTTGGGCTCAACAGGGTGCCATTGTGGTCCCCTTTCCGGCTGAGAACCTTACCAGGCCCGGAGTTACGATAATCGGAAGTCAAGAGACAAGAAAGGCATTGTCCAGTGAGTGGTGTTGAGTGTACAAAGCCGCAGCTGCAGTTGCGCCAAGGCTTCTTCCCGCCTCGCCCCATGGGTGCCGGGCGGCGGGGCCGCAGCTATCTATTCCTCTGTCGGAAATGGCTAAGACTCGGTAAGTGCCACCGAGGACAACAACCGCCTCTTCATGCCAGCCATGAGGATACTTACGATTTTTTATGCTCTGGCATCGCCCTTACTGAATCCAATTAATTTGAGTCGTGCGTGAAGGTGTGCGTTGCGCTCCAGCACTGAACTTATCCCAATGTTAGGATAAGAGGGCTCGTGTGGGGTGCAAAATCAGGCGACAGCAGCGGCAGCGCGGAAATCCTACGGGGTGATCGAGACCAGTTGTGAGAGCTCGTCAGCCGCGTTTAATGCACTGGCGCTGCGAGGAATCCTTGCTGCCCTGCCAATCTAGGCAAAGCTTTCGACCGGCCGCATGGAAACTGAGGCAGCGAGGCCAGTGCTCGAGGAGGAGTTCTACTGCAGCGAACTGTGTGCTGACCTCAGGGATATGAAGGTCTTCCAGTGCCAGGGCAGCGGCCACGTCGTCGGGTGCACAATTATCCAAGCTCAATGAAGGAAGAAATTCAGACCTAGCCCAGAGTGTGAGCAAGACTGACTCAGAGCTGATTGGTGCACGGAAAACCGTATGACACTTCGGCAGCTACTGTAGCAACGTCTGCCTCTGAGGCTGAACAGAGTTCGGGCAATTCTGGGATCAGCTTCCTGCCTGAAAGCAGCCTTTGGCCGGTCGCACGTAGATTTTTTGCTGTTTTCCGCCTGGAAGGGGCAGTTTCTGGAGCACTTCGAGCCCAAGCAAAACTCGCGGTGCGGCCGCAGCGAAGCGCAAGTGCTTTTGTCAATTTGTGCCTTCATGCCAGAGAGAAGAGCTGCTCCTGGGGTGCGCAGGAACAGCACGCCCGGCCAAGGCCGGGTGACTCGGTGATCCTGGCTGTTCATCCCGAGCTATTTTGCTTCGAGGCTCTATCCGCCATCTGCCTTGCGGCCAACTGATAAAACTCAACGTGCCTTGCATGCAGTATCTTGGGCCTTCAAGGCTTGGCATGGGCACGGCTGAAGAAGATCAGTTGTCCGGGTAACCGAGAAGCACTCTTTGCCGATGTCTTCGGTTTTTGTCGCAGACGGCAAGTTTTGTGCCTCAGCGGCTCTCGAGCTCGACTTCAGGCTTCCTTTGCCCTGGATGCTACATGTCCCTCCTCCTGTCCACTCCACGTCGATCCCACCAGCGATTCAGAGAAGGATGCCCCAGATGCACTCCTGGACTCACATGAGCTAACAACCGCAAGAAACTAGTTTCCATGACATGCGTACCGCAGGACTTCTGCCAGTCCATGTGCGTGCCAGAGGGAGCGTGCAAGCTGCACAATCCAAAGGCAGGAAGGAGAGACGAGAGAAGATTGAAGCTTCGTTGAGTCCTGGTGTCATGAAGCCACCAGAAGACGCAGAACCTGCAGGCACCTGTTGGAGATCCCGGCATCGGCTCCTGCCGAGGGGCGGTGGTGGACGGGTGCCAGGCGCGGGGAGCGTCGCTCTCGGGATCGTCACTGGCTTTGATCCTTTCGGCAGGTGCCCAGCGAAGATGGCACAGCGCCTGGCTCAGGAGATTTAATGGTGACTTCTGGCACCTTGAGTCTGTCAGATCGGCTGAGGACTCGTGCGAGGAGTGTGACGGCTTCTTCTACCTCACGAAAGATCGGTGGCTGGATTCCCATTAGTTGCATTGCTCATAGCGATGTGCTGTCGGATGTCGTTCTCGACAAAATTCATGGGCACTTGCTGATCCCTTCGCTTGCAGGAAGTGTGCTCGTAAATATGCCTGGGCGCTCTACGTCATTGCAGCGGTGCTGGTGGTGTCTGGGTTGCAGAAGCACCACGCATGACTATGCATGACTCGGTTGTCTCAGCAAAGGTGGTGATTCTGCTGGCTCTGGCGAGACTTGGATAACGCCTGCATGTGTTTGGCTGGCGATGCAGGACCCCCTGTGAGTGCCCGAGGATCTTGGTCGATCTCCTGATGCGGCCTGTGACGAATGAAGCCGGGCTTGAGGACTAGCGCCAGCCGGCGTGCTGCCATCCCAATGATTTGCACGTTTCTTGGAGGACGCCCTTGCTTACCGCTCGCGGCAGAAGATCAGGATGCCGAACGTTGATGGAAGCGGGCGTCACTCGGCAAGATGCTGATCGCTCGTAATCAGCTGGTAAGTACCGCAGCACTTTTCAGCTGGATTGGCCTCTAGAGCCGGGCTCGGCAGAGAGCCTTGTGTTTCGTGCAGTGTCTTGAGCACATGCGCAACACATACGGTCATGCAGATCTGCAGCCAGGCCACCTGTACCCTTTGTCGACAAATCTTTGTACGGGTATCGTTGGTGGTCCGGGCCTGGCGCTGCACTTCCGCTTCCAGGCCAGGCTTCAATGAGGATTGTGCTTTTCAAGCAGTGCCAGAGATGGTGCACAGCCCGCAGGGCGGCCTTGTGCCTGGAACCCTCACGCTCCCCAAAGCGATAAGCAGGCAGTCATCGTCATCTGGGCCGCCGTCATTGCCTCCAGCAGCTTGCCCAGAGTGGAGAGACCGAACTATTGCAAGTGTGAAGGTTGGGGGGGGGGGGGGGTGCAGTTCTCAGTTGAGCATCATCGCTCTCAGCACATGCCGTTCCGCTACAAAAGCCGACACTGTCGTGGCTGCATTTGCTGGACCTGTAGCCGTGGCAGCGGCACTCTCCCTTTCCATGTGCTATAGGGCTTAGGGAAGTTTAGGGTTTCGACTTGAGCACAGGCTGGATGCTTTTGGCGCTGCTTGTGGACTATGACCTGCTAGTTCTCGGCACGAAGGAGTTCGGGACCGCAACACGCCCGCAGAGCGAGGCTCGCAAAGATTGAGGAACAAGAGTCAGAGGAGGAGTCACGCTTAGGATTATTCGTGATGATTGTTCCACATCATGTGGCATCTAGTTCAACACTGAAAGCTGGCATAGGATATCACGCTACATCTGTTGCACGCGCCGGATCTTCTCCCCGGGGACATCTAGCTGAATCTAGCTGCTGAGTCGACATGCATGCCACTGTCCCGATGTCCTTCAAGTAGCCATGCGGCTACAAGATGGGGCGCTCACATAGTTCGTGCGCCACCGAACCCCCCTTTTAGACTAGACGAGTCGGCCAATGGATGAGGCAGTGGGCTGTCGACAGAAAGGTGCCAGGCAAGCCTTGTTCTCCATTGCCTTTGCGGGAGCATTCCTGACGGCTTCTATAGCCGTCTTGAGTCCACTAAAGGCGCAGATCCAGACCGAGCTTGCATGCACTGATGCGCAAACTGGACTTCCAGCATTCGCGACTCAATTCTCGCAAGTGGCAGCTGCAGCTTTCTCTGGCATTTTTGCCAGCCAAAAAGGTGTCAGCCGACGTTTCGTTCTGGCTACGTCTTGCGCGGTGGTGTCTGTCTCGACTTGCTTGATTGTCGTCAAGCCGAGCATTGAGCTTCTCTGCATACTGCGAGTCTTCGTGGGGGCGGGATATGCGTGCGGCATGATCATCATCCCGTCTCTGCTTGTGGACTATTATCCTATTCTAGATCGAAGCCATGTCTTTGCACTGTTCGAGGTGAGTTGCTTATTGGGTGGAGCTTTCAGCTATGCAATTGGATCGGTAATTGCAGAAGCCGCGGGTTGGAAAGCATCAGTGATGACGGTTGGTGCATCTTGTCTGATTGCCAGCGCCGCCGTGCAATTCATCAGGGAACCCAAGCGAGGCATCAATGACGTCAATGTAGTTGAAGAGGGGACGTCAACGATAACCAAATACCAAGCAGTTCTCTCAAACCAGCATTTCTTGGTGATCGTCGCGGTCAGCATTATGAACACCTTCGCGGAGAGTGCCCTCGCCGATTGGTTCCCGACCTTGCTGCAGAGATTCGATGGGCAGAGTGTGCGAACAGCTGGCCTGGAATGTGCCTTTGCAGGGATCGTTGGTGGCTTGTTCGGGAGCATGCTGGGTGCAAAAGCCCTCAAGAACTTTCAGGAAGATGGTAAGAACATCGAGCTGTTGGCACCTGGAGTGGCTACCATGGCAACGATTTGGCCGTGTCTAGCGCTCCTGTCGTTTCAGATGCACAACATCTTCTCCATCGTGGCCCTATCAGCTGCTTACATGTCCTCGTTCACTTTGAGCAGCGTTTGCTTGTCGGTGCTTCTCACGAAGGTTTTCCCTTCCTCTCAGATCAGCTTGGCCGTCTCGGTTCGACTGCTCTGCACAAGCGGCCTTGGGACCGCAATTGCTCCAGTGATAACTGGATGGCTCTCTGACAGAACGCATTCGCTCAGATCTGCGCTACATCTGCCGCTGGGGGTGCAGCTAGCTTCCGGATTGCTGCTTCTGACCAGCTCCCGGATTCTCAGTGCAGTTGCAAGCTGCAGCACCGCCGAGGCGCGTAAGGCAACTCTGCAGTCGCTCTTCTCTGCAGAGGATGAGCATGAACCGGGTGGGCTCCTGGCTGAGAAGTCGAAGTCCAAGTCCCTGGCATACGGGTCTCTTGCGTCTCTTGGAGCTGACTAGCGGCTTGCGCTTTGCCCGAAAAAGGAGAGGTCACACGCGGGGCTCCAGGCATGAGCCTAGGCCCATAGAGTATACGATTTTCCTGATCTGCTTTGTGAGCTGGTGCAAGACTTGACTTCTCTGCCAACGATGCAGCAGCCGAGAGAGCATGGTTGGCTAAATCTGATACGAGCATCTCATTGCCGTGAGGGGATCGTGTGCGGTGCTTAGCAAACGATCCTCAGCCGAACCGAGGCTTTTCGCAACTGCGTTCTGGTGGCATGGGGTCGTGCGACACAGCGGAGGCGAGGCTACGATCGGAGGGTGCAGAGGTCCGTGGGTAGATACAAGCCAGGTGACTTCAGCCGAAGTGCAGATGCGGTAATTTTCGATGCTGCCGTACATTGTGACAGGGTTCTAACCTGCCTGAGCCCAGGCTCATGTGGCTGAAGACGTGGTTTCTGAGCTTTGTCTACATCTTTTCATTTCTAGGCGGCCGAGCTGCAAGTGAGGGGAGCGGATCAGATCTTTACAGATCGAGCCATGGAGCCCACGGGATGGTGAAGCTACAGGAAGTGTCTTTTTCGGCACTCGCCAATTGTACTTCTGGGAGCGCCTCGATGACAACAACGCCGCTGGGCACTGCAAAGGGTTCAGCACATGGTTCAGCGCCTCGTAAGTTTGGAGTGCTGTTGCAGAGTCTAGACCTACTTCTCAGACCTTTTGATGTTCGTCTTGCTGTACGCGTCCGACGTGTCCGCGTGCTCACCCGTGGTTTCTCTCGCTCTCCCTCCTCCCCCTCTCTCTCGCTCTGTTTCTCTCCCACTCTCTGTCTCTCTCTCTCTCTCTCTCTCTCTCTGTCTGTCTCTCTCCCCACTCTCTCTCTCCGGCGTCATGAGTCGCTTCTGTGCTGGTCTGCTTCATCTGGCCTGAGGACACCATGAAAGACTATGCACTGCGATTGTCTGGCCTACCGTGGCTGGACGGAACTGTGCGCATGGAGGAGGAACTCAAGGAGAACCTTGTGCAAAGTCTTCCAGCAATCCTTCGAAAGAGTTCAGGACAACCTCGTTCTAAGCACAACGGGCTAACCCAGTTTCGGTTAGCTCCAATTCCAGGGCCTTACTTGCTTTGGGCCGTGTGTGATTGCTTGGTGCTGACACAGGACGGTAGTGAACCTGTAAACCTGTCTTGAATTGTTCGAAGCACACGCAGCATGGACGTGTGTGATCACAGGAGAGGTTGCAGCTCGCGACTGGCCACGCAGTGGTTGGAGTCTCTGTCTGCTGGGACTACCATGAACATCAGGCGCGGCCATGGAGCCTGTCTCTGGCAGAGTCGTCTGGTTGTTGATTAATTGTCGGTTTGCTCCAAATCATCACAGTTGCTTTGAGGATTTCCTGGCTCATCGACCACACCCCACGGCTAACGAGCTAGAAAATCTCATGCACGGAACCTACCAAGCGATGCACGTTGCCTCTCTCCGGGGTCCACACTTGCATCAACAAACAAGAAAAAGCTGCTGTACATGTTTGCTTTTTTTGCTGTCTGCTCAGGCATCATGTCACCAAGAAAAAAGGCCCTTGGCCCAGGGCCAACACCAGAGCCCAAGGGCCAAAAGCAAGCTAGAACTTCACGAATTATAGGCTTCGGCAATGCCTGGCTGAAAGCCTGTAGCCATCAGTCGATTTGACTGACGCAAGATGCTCCCATCAAAGGCCAAGGAGAGGCAATCGGCCGTATGCTGCTCAGGAAGCTGTTCGTGCCCAGCTCGAGAAAGGAGAGGATGTACGTCAACAAGGCCACGGAGCGCGCCTTTCGTGCATGAGCATGGGCGGAACGCGTCCGAAAGAGCTGCCTGAATGTGCGAGGCGTCGTCACTCACGGAAACTCTGCGATGGTGACTTGGCTCCGGTACCAGACTCTGCCATGCCTTACGGCCTACTCTTCTTGCGTTTTGCATTGTATGCGTAGCCTGGCACTCCAGCCAATGCCACAAGATTCTGTGCAGCCGGTACAGGACATGGGCCCATTCAGAAATACTCTGTTCCATGTCGAGCAGATGATTCTCACAGAGGAGATCTTGTGTGCAACGTTCGATCGTCATATTCATTGCAGCTGTTGGGATGCAAACGGAGCCCGTTCTTTCGAACTCTTTGTGGAATCAACTCGGTGTTGAAGGGTCCAGAGTCCAGAGTGTCCAAAGCTGGCCAACTGGGCGCAATGTGCTTGGGCATCACGCAGGATCAAGAGCAGCTTTTGTCAGAAGACGCTGCGAGCTTGGATCTCATCTCGCTGCAGTTGTCCCTGTAGCAGTCCGGCTGCTAAGGAGTTTCGAGATCTTCTGATGTCGATGAGGTCCAGAAGCCTGCGCAGAAAATCTCTGCAGCCTTCTCCCTTTGCGAAGAGCGGCAGGTGCTGCTCGACAGCCTTCGCTGTCTTCGAGACAGAGCGGGCGAGGGATGAGGCGTGGCGATCTAGAGTCGTGCACTTGCTCAGTATTGGAGTACTAGATCACTAGGATACTACGGCAACATTCCATGCCGGATGCATCTGATATCTCGGGCTCTTAGGCTTTTCGGGGGCCTTTGCCGGCTTGTGATGATGGTACATATGTCGTACCAGCTGCATTTACTAAAAGCAGGCAGGCTGTAGGGCCTTTACGGTCCAAACGCCACCAGCCCAAACGCCACCATGGAGGCTGCCCTTATGCTGTCCTCCGGCCTGGCTTTTCGTGGCACCTGCCTCGAAGCCAGCCCTGCTGTGCGGGAGCCTCACGGCGCCGGGGCCCCAAGTGACAGAAACGATGATGGCAACCAGCGGCCCTGTAGTTTCTGGACTGGTGACTAGTAGCAGCAGCCCGGCAGTGGTCGAGGCAAGGGGTCGTCGTGGTGGTGCAGTGGCAGAAGCAGCTGGGTTCAGCAGCAACAGGAGCAGGAGGAGGAGGAGGAGGTGGAGGAGGAGGAGGAGGAGCCAGCAGTAGCAGCTACTTGGCCAAAGTACCATCGACAGACTGCGCGACCCAGCGTAGGTCCACCAACCCTCACGCCTGCTTGCCTACCGACCTACTGTACCTTGCTACCTTCCTACCTACCTCACCTAACCCTATCTTGCGCTGCCTGCCTACCACCTTCCTAGCTCCCTACCAATCCACCTGTGGGGCCTTCTGCCTGCCCCTGTATACCTGCCGACCGACCAACCGACCGACCTATCTACCCACCTACCTACTCGTACCGTCACCACGTTCACCATCAACACCACCACCATCACCGCCACCGCCGCCGCCGCCGCCACCGTCACCGCCAGTCACACAGTCATGCAATCAAAAGCGTGAGAATGCAAAAAGCGGTTTGGCCTTCAACAAGCACCATATCGGCGATAAGCGATTCTTGTAAATCTAGCACGAGAGCGAGTATGCCAGGCAAAAGGAAGCCTGCTTGCGGACGGCTGGTGTCGCCGCAAGGGTATGGGATCTGCTGGTCGGGATGTTCTGATTTTTTCCGAGGTGAATTGGAGGAACATGCGGACAACTGGCCTTGCTGGCAAGCTGGAGAGGCCTCGCCCTCTGATGCCAGAATCCAGACTAATGCGGAGAGTGAAGCCGATGAAAGCCTGGTTGGTGACGCAGTCTGCCCGTTGGTTGAACGCATTTTGCCACTTTAGTTAACCGCAAGGCTGGGAAGAGGCTTCCTCCTGATCCTCGTGGGCGTCGCTCTGTACCTCGGAATTTTCTATGCACCCTATGCTGCTTGGCTACATTTAGGTCTGAGGCATGCAAAGCTAGCTCGACAGCACCAGAGTCTGCCTTGGCAACGTGGTAGCTTGCTGCAGACCTTTCATGCTTTGAGGCTTGGTCCATCTTGAAGTTTAACTACGAGGGTGGTCAGCAGCCTGGTATAGCTGCATGGCAGCAGACAAAGCCTTTTCTCAGGCATTTGACAGAATAGAATGGACACTGCAGCACTTAAGTTCCAACTTTGTCATGCATCAGGTGTACACCATCGCCTTCTCTCTGATTGTTTGTGTGGGCAACCTAATGATGGCAGAGATGTGCAGCCGTGTGGCAGACACCATTGGCTTCGAAACTCGGACGTGTTTGCAACCTGCACATCCTGTTGAACTGGTTAGCTTCTGCTGCCGGCATCAGCAACAACACGTGCATCGAGGCACAGTGGCAGGGGTTCGGGTTCGGGCTGGCTACATCAGGGCCTGCTATCGGTGCTTGATGGACATTGCCAGCCCACGATAACCCAGGATTTCATAACGCCAGCAAACACTGCACTGTTGCAGGTGGTCTCGGGAGCCCCGGACCTGACAGAGTCGGTAGGAAATTTTGATTTGTTTCGGTTTGCCACCAATCAGTCTGTGCATGCCTCCGGCGCCTGTTCTATTGAAGTTCCATATGGGTACTGTTTCGGTCGGCTCTGTCATCGTCCGTCGTGTGATAGACTCGCCTTTCCTCCGTTGGTTTTCGTGCTCTTCCTTGCCAACCGTACCACTGCGAAGCACCGAAATTTCAGTTGTTGAAACGGCTACCGAAAAGCTAAGCTCTGCTGCGAAAAGCGTATGGGAGATGTGAGCATTAGTTTCTTTTGGAGTTGGGAAGACTCCGTGTTTTTGTGGTCTGAAATGGGCCAAGGAATACAAGGAGACCAGAGAAAATTGCTACATGGTCCTCTACTTGCTGGCCATTGTCACTTAGCGAGCCTTAGGCGTGTGTCACAGTGCAACGTCCGTGCATCTTGACCTGCATCAAACGGAGTGGTCTACTTCTCAGGTGATCAATGTTGGTCTTGACATATGGACCACTTACTACATGGCATCTCAGACCTTCAGCTGCCATGATTCCATCTGAGTATCGCAGTGAACGGTTCAGCCACCAATCGGGAAAGTCCAGATATGTCATGCTGCATGTCCGGATGGGTGAGACAGCACATGTCTTATCGAGACTATTTCTTTGGTGGCTCGAGGACATGCTCACTGCGCGTATGCAACGATGAAGTTTTCAAGGGCTAGATTATTAGACTCTAGCCATGCATCTAGCCCGACTTGGGCCCAAGGTCTTGCTTGTGCATACAATACAAGGTTTCAAGCTTCATATGATTCATATGGCATCAGTGAAGACGAAGATCAGCACTTCGGGCGCATGAGGCGCTGACATGCTTAGTCGAGCTGCCACGCGCAGAGCCTCGTGGTCTTTCGAAGGTGTCCCGTAGGCAGAAGCTTGCAGCCCTGAAGCCGGTCTCTGCACCCCAGCAGCCCCAGCACAGCGCATCTCTTTGCCATGGACTCCGTTGCAAGTGCGGCGAGCGCCGTGGTGCGACAGTCGACACTGGTGATTGGCGCAGCCGCCGACGAGCTAGCGCGTCAGGCGACGGATGGCAACTGTAAGCATGACGAGATACTGCATGGTACGGTAAGGTCACTTCGATACACAATATATGACGAGGCTAGTCTGCGCAGTGCTTGCCGTTTTGAATCTGTTCATCGCTTGTGCTCGCAAGACAAGACTGTGTTCAGAGCCAACGCCAGATTGTTTGGAGTGTTGCCCAGGCTAATGCTGTGGTGCAAGCGACCGCGGAGTCAGATCCAATTTCTTGGATCGCAGGCCCCATGTGTCTCGCCACGGCGCAAAAGAGGATTCGTGTAGAACACGTGCCAACGGCCCAAAGCAGCACACTGGCGAGCATCTGCAAACTGGACATCGCAGAAGACGGGAGTTAATGCGCTTCAGGAGTAGAGCAGGAGTTGCGACTCAATTTGATGGGGACGTGTCTCAAGGCATCTGCTAGCGGGCAGATATATGCAAGAGCACATGTATAAATCCGGTGCAGGTGATGACGACGACCTGCTGCCTGGCCCCTCTAGCCCTGGGCTCATTCTACCGGCACCGATAGCCACGCCGCTGGCAGCGCTTACATCCTGGGGTGCTTGGGGCCTCGATGACACGCCGCTGTGGCATAGTAGCTTGGCCTCGGAAGTAGCGACAGCAGCAGTCAAACATGGCCACGAGCATAGCTGCCCAGTGAAAGAGTTGGAGTTGGCGACAGACTCAGCGGCTGTGTGATAGCAGGGTGGGTAATCGTACCAAGAGTGCTCCCATCGCTCTCGTGTCGAAGCAGAAGTCGCCAAAGCTAATGACATGTTACTGCTCTCGTGTCAACGTAAGCACGATAACTCGCGGCTGTGGCGCAAGAGCAGTCATCACCCTCTCCGAGCCGCGTGAAGACTGAGTGACTAAGCCTCTTGCAACAGGGCCCTTCGCTGTGGAGCCGGACATCAACTCGAAGCTTTTTCTTTGGCAGGGCGACATTTGCAGCCTAGAGGCCCGGATTGGGACCCTCGGCGACAGTCCTCTTAGCACTGAAAAACAGTGTGTAATCGGGTTGGAGGTCGATGCACTGCTGGCTCCGGTGGCTGCTGGCTACACGCCCGGCTGCAGTACCGTGTTCGGCCGCATGCTGCAGCACGGTGGCCCGGACTCCGGGAGCCGGGAAGTACCATGACATCATGGGGACAACGGATGACCAGGGAGGGCCAAGGCGGCCAAGGGGGAAGGGGAAGGAGAGGTTGACTCGTGCTTTCTCCCTGAGGACCTTCGCGAAGAGCTTCGTCACATGGAGGGCTGCCGGAGTGGGGAGGCCATCTCAGCCAGGGCATGTCTGTGATTCTTATTGGGGTCGAAAGGGTTTCGGATTCAAGTTGCCGAATGCTGGTGGATGGCACGAGGCTCGCAGCTGCAAGGCGTACAACTTACCCTGCCAGCGGCTTCTCCTCACGGTCGGGCCCAAGTACAAGGAGCTCGTTCATGTAGGACTTGCATGGCGGACCTCTGCTTTACTTGCCCTTGCAGCAGAAAAAGACTTCGAGGGAAGATACGAATCGGAGTTGGGCCGGACAGTAAAATTCAGTTGAGGTGACAGTGCTAGGTGAAAATCATGTCAATGTCTACTGTAGCCCGTCTTGTGAGGCAACTCGCCTGCGGGGTCCACCTTCTCATTCCTTGCATCCTCTGGTTCTGATTGTAACTGATTGTATCATGTGGACCTTTTCAATTGCATGTCTATGGCATGGTTTGGCAATAGAACTCGCAAGGTTTTACAAGGGAGTTTGCCTGAGTTGGTCCGATGCTTTGTGCCAGGACAAGTACCAGGTGGCTGCACAGAACACGCTGAACGCTTGCTACCGCGAGTCAATGCAGCTCCTCGTGGAGTCTGGCCACAGAACTGTGGCGGTTCCTTGCTATTGGTACAGCCAGGGCTACCCAATGGAGGAGCAAGCTCATGTTGGGCTTAGGACACTTCGAAGATGTTTGGAGAAGCTGCGTGCCTCCGTGGACAGTGCTGTTTTAGTGGCCGGGACGACACTCGAGCTGGAGTTATACGAGAGCTTGTTACCTCTGTATTTTCCACGCAATGAGTTCGAGGCCAGGCATGCCGCAGCCGTTCTTCCAGACAGCTGCTGGAATGAGTGGGGCGAGGTAAGCATGGAAGAGCGGCGCATTCGGGTCTCGAACCATGTTGTCTCTGACCGTCGCGACGAGGCCGAGGACAGTGATCTCGTCTTCGGTGACGAGGATCGATCTTTTCTTCATGCCCGCGATGATGCCGACTTTGCTGCGATGCAGCGCCTGGAGGGCACCATGATACATGCTGAAACGGTGGAGGAGGCCAGGCACATCTGCATCCGCTACCTGCGCAGAGCCAGAGAGATTCCAGCCGAAAGCGAACCAAAGCGCTTTGTTTACAGCGGTGGGCCGGACCACTTCGGTCGCGAAGTTGTGGTGCTGCTCGGGGCACGCCTCCCACCTCTCGGCGTTCAGGATGAGCGAACTTTGGCACTTTTCGTGAGAGAGCTCGAGGCTGTGCCAAGTGATCGCTTCTTGCTTCTCTATGTAAACAGCGAGGTGGATGGAATGGACACAACGGTCCTAGAGGTGTTGCAGGAGATGCTTGCGGTTGTCAACGCGAAATACCGTAGCTCTATGGCACAGCTCTTGGTGTTGCATCCTGGGCTATGGTTCAGGGCTGCCTTTGCTCTTGGTCGTGCTGTAAGCGACGAAGCTGCAAGTGTTTGGCACGACAGCCTCTATTTGGAGTGCGTGGCGGATCTTGCTGCAGTGCTAAGCCTTGAAAGGCTTTATTTGCCGGACTTCGTGCGATGGAGTGAGCAGCAGTAAACGTTGCCCTCCTCCGCCTCTTTCCGGAAAATACCGAAGATGTGGCGACGCCATTCGTCGTCTGTTTGCTGCAGCTTTCTGCCGTCTCACCAGTTGCAGTAGTTGTGCGGGCGTTCCGTTCAGAGGAGCAACGCGCCATCAAAGCTGTCTGAGTATTCAATGATTCAACCAAGGTGTAGTTTCGTGCACTCTGTAAGGATCATGATCGGTTTGCACTTCCGAACCGTACCATGGCTGCAAAGCGACTTCCATGTCGCCACGGGAAAGCAGTCCTTGCCCCATGTTCTTTGCGCATGCAGTCTTGAGCATCCCAGGAAGACGGACGTCTACTGGCAGATGTGCACAACTTCTTAGAGCGTTTCGAGAGCTTGCCGGCTTTAATCGGATGTCTTCATTCTTCCTGCTCATAGGCACAGCCCGGCACGGTCCACAGTAGGTAAGCAACACATGGACTTGTCCGTCAACTGCACTGCCTATCGTGCTCTTGTCTCGGCATCTCCTGTTGCTCAGCTCTCCACATGCAAGCGGGACGGGAGGTGAAAACGGTGGCGCAGCCTCTTCGCTTGCAGCTTTTTCTCAGGCTACGCCCTGCAGCGGTCAATGGGCCAGCAGCTCTACGAATATGCGCAGCCTGGCAGAGCTCTTGAGTCGAAAGCTCGCAGGATCTCGCAGCGGTCGGAGCGGGAGCGCGCGCAGTGGCCATGCGACATGCGCTGTCAGGTTTCCCTGCACTTTTCTGGTTCCCTTCCTTGCTGAGCCTCTGGCAGTGATCTTTGCATTTTCGCGGATCTTCATGTGCCTCGCCTCATCTGGGACCGCGAGCCCCGAAGCCGTGAAGCCCGAGCGCACCGAGGCTTTTGATCCGCAGCCACCCGGAGGTAAAGCCTTGGGTGAGCCGCAGCTGGTTGGCGGCCCTTGACCTGGAGCTGGGTCGCTACGCAGATGCTCGGCTTTTGCAGTATCGGTCCTGGTCTCAATGGGGTTCTTATGACTTTATGCTGCACCTCCGCCTCCACCACCACGAGCAGGGGAACTTAAGAGCTGAGGTCAGATAGTCGCAGCTTCAAACACCGGAGATGTACCTTACAGCCTTCTGGAGCATCTCGGAGCAGTAGCCTAGGACTGCTTGGTGAACGTCTTTCTGGCCGTCCTGGTGTTGCGGCCCCAGCGCAAAATCACGCCGTGGGTTCGCAAAATCCGAGAGAATTGGCAAGGTTTTTCTTTCCCGGTGGCTACACCCACTGGGTATTTGCATTGCTGGCCATGTGCCATGCTTACATCTATGCCAGGACCTCGAGCTTGGATGGTTTGTCTTGGTTTCAACATATTCCTTAAAACCTGTCAGTGTCAGGTCTACGACCATTATAGAGTCCTTCGTGTGGTGCCTCGCGTTGTGATCCACTCGATGAGTGTGGACTTCTGCGCGCAGGCTCCCAGACTGGCACAGAAACGGCCCTGCAACGGCATGTCGCGAGCGAAGCCAGGTTCTTCTGGCACCGGCATGTGGGATTTTGCGGCGCGGCATGCCAAGTCACCGGTACCCCTCCCATCCCCGTGCAAGCTGAAAGGCAGGATGCCGAATCTACGGGTTTCCTGTAATTCTTACATGGCATGAGATCGTCGAAAACGTACTGGCGCGTTAGGCCAACAGAGTGATCCAGTGTTCCACGTAGACACGTCTCAGCTTCCCGTCCATGGATAGCGATCGTAATGTGCACATGGAGAGCAGGCCACCGTTGCTCGAAGACCCGTTTTGTGGGTGAAGGGGAACGCCAAACCAAGGCTGGTTTGTCTGATCTTCAAAGGCAACTGCAGCCAGGACGCTTTGTATTGCGACTTGACAGCTTGGTGAATCTGTGTTTGTGTTAGATATTTGGTGTCTCGAAGACGCTCGATTGGTCCGTGGTCCGTGGTGGCCTTTTCCAGGCCTGGAGGCCGAGCCGCTCCTCTGGCTCTGCCTAGCAGCCTTCCTCCTGCACTGCGCCGCTTAGCTGCGCACATTCTAATCTGCACACCTTTGCTCCCTGATCAGCTGGTCGTTCGAGAATCCAGGCCGTCCATGCTCTGATCATCTGCTTCGTGGTGCCGTACTGGCTCGGAAGGACTCGCAAAGAGAAGGTTTATCGGAAAGACGCCAAGCGCCTTGGTGGTCACAGCATGTGCTTCGACGGTACCATTCAAGAATTCATGGTCTCAGCGATGTGCAAGCTCCAAGGTCGTTCAAGGATGTGGCGGCGGAAGAGCCTTGCAGCTGGCCTTTCGGCGAAGATGGCTGGCCATGATAGGGGCCAAAAACGCATATGAATGTACGAATCCCACAAGTATTCCATCAGGGGTTCTGGAAATTGTCAGCGCCCTTACACCCAAAAAGGTACACAGGCCGTTGGAGTATCGCCTAAATGGCATGATTTGTTAGAGTTGAGCTGGCATCAAGAGCCTCTGTCGAATTTCTCTCCAGCGCCAGGTTCACGGCAAACCCAATTCACTGCTTGCGGTCCAGTTTCGTCTTGACCTCAACGCCTGCACATTGACCCGGTGGCATGGTAAAGTTTGGGAGTGAAGAGGTCTACCACCACTCCCCTCCGTGCAGCTTCTACACCCCCGGGATGGAGCACACTATGCAGGCCGCATTCTTTACTCTGCTTGCCTCTCGCCTCTGGCGGCACTGACAGGTGAACGAGAGCATCGGTTGCCACTTTACGGAGGTTGACGAGACGGTGGAAGACGACGCTGGGCTAGCTCTTAGCCGCCTTAGCCTTCACATTCTTATCGTCATGGACCGCCCGTAGATACCGGCAACTAACAGTTGGTCCTGCGCGAAATCTGCCTTGACATTTGATATCCCGCTGATCTGCTGAAGGTGCACAGCTACTTGCAGTTGCCACGCTTGCCAACTCTACGTGATTTGAAGCATCCTGGAATGCAGCATAGAGGTCTTCCCCGGGTGTCTATGTCATGTCTTCGGGGTCTTCTGTGCATGTGCACATATGCGTGACATGTTGTCGCGATACGCTGGAGGATGCTTGAGCGCAGGCATATCCTGGACAACGAAGAGGATGATAGCGGCAAGGGGGACACAGGCCGCACAGCACACAAGGGCTGTGGCAGGTCGTTCAGAGGTGTTTTTGATGCAACCGAGTCAGAGCACATGGAAGAGAGATGGTTTGGCGTCGCTTCCGTTGGGAAGCGGGTTTCTGCAGGAGCGACAGCTTCAACATGAAGAAGGACCCTAAGGAGTGATCCTTGGTAGCAGTCCTGGATCCTGCCGAACAGAAAAACAGCGCAGCGGTGCTTGGGCTTGCTGGTTGAAGCTGGTTGACATATCTTGTGTGTCCGGAACTCGGTGAAGTGCCTACCTCTGCAGTAGTGCAGTTTGCGACCGCGTTCCTTCTCTTACGATTCGCGAGATGCCACCCCGGCTGATGGCTAGGCCACGGCTAATGGGAGACGTGAGCAGCAGTTCGTAGCCATTAGGCTCAAGGCGCTTGGCGGAGGCGAAGAGAGCGCAGGATCATTAAAGACATGATGCAGCCGAAAAGGGCGCAGCGAATGGCGGAGTGCTTGGGCGGCACAATAAGTGCCCAGCGAGATGCTACAGTGCTAAATGGTGCGTGGCGGTTTTCGCTTATCTTGGAAGGTTTGATTTGCCATGCACCCGGCCGATGAATCAGATTCGTGGCTTCGAGAGCGAGACCAAGGCCCGGCCGCCCTTCAATGCCTTAGAGCTCTTATTCATACTATAAAACAAGACTAGTTGAATTGCGATATGTGGCTACTCTTCGTCTTTGTATTCTCGGTATGGTTGTCATATGTTGTCATACTTTAGGCACTCGTCATCTGGAGCCGGAAAACCTATATACATTTTTCCACGAAGATTAGGAGACGCAGCGAGCTGCGCGCACACGTGATGCACTTCGTCAGCTGGGTGCCAAGAAGGAGCTATGGGCCTTTTTGAGCAATGTAAGACGTGGACTTTCATGTTGTTGTCTCGTTGTGCCGCGCCTCATGCCCCACCAGGATCTCTTGAACTTGGATTCCTATTTGCTCGACAGGCAAGCTTGTTTGTGGCGTTTTGCCAAAGCTTGTCGGTTGCTGTTTTCGTAAGCCGCTGGTTGAGCCGGCGCGTCAGGCCAGAAGCAGTGAACATGCCGGTCCTGTTCGACCAGGCCCTTGTGCCAAAACTGAAATCTCACATGTTCTGCTTGCTGCTTGCATTCGATGGTTGACGGTGTAGTGTAGACACAGAATGGGCATCGAAGCTGTCAAGCGTGAACATGTTGCAGCTGCACGTTGCTGCAGGGCTCCCTCCTGCACGTTGCGGCCATGCGTGGCCACCAGGCAGCGGCTAAAGTTGCCATGAAGTCTTGCTCGAAGCTTGATGCATCCATGCTGATGCTTTGGTGTTCTGTGGCAGGATATGGTCCAGATGTTGATCCATCAGCGGGGCGCAGACGTTGCTCCTGGCTGGCAAAAAGCACATGATAAGTATAAGGGCAAACTTGCCTTACCGTTGGCTCACTATGTTTGTTCGCACCCCACTTCCCCAAAGCCAAAAGACTATAGCTCTTCTGGCGACTACACCCTCACCTCCAGCCGTGCCGAGAACAACAGGAGGGTGAATCAGGCCTGCACATGGCTGACAAAGCCTTTGCAATGCTAACTGTTGACACCGACACGAGAGCTGGCTTTGAGGAAAGAACGAACTACTCCCAGCAGACCTCGCTGCACGCTGCCTGTGATGGCAACCACGCCAACATTGTGGTGGATCTTCTTGCAGCCGGACTGGTGGCCGTGAGAGATGAAGTCTGAAGCAACTTTCGCCATGCCCAATCCTTGAGCGGATCTCGGATACCCAGGCACTCTTCCTCTGCTTTGGATCATTTTCTTCAGGAGCTGATGCAGACAAGCGCGATGCACTGCGGCAGACGCCGCTGCACCGCGCAGCCCATGTCGGTGCCGTGGACTGTCTCCTGGCGCTTCTGGACTGAACTGCTGCATGATGCTGCATGCGAGGTTTTTACTCGCTTGCCGTTACGATGACACAAGCAATTAAAAGCAGCTACAGGGAATCATAATTGCTGTCCCAACTTGCCGGGCCGGAAGCTTTCACCATAGCCTTACGTCTCATGGATTTCCATCGGCAAGCACTTCTCTCTCAAGCTATACCCTAAACTCCCTAAACACCTACAGGAAAAAGGAGAGAGTTGGAGGTTTTTACCCTTCGGTTGCACGGTTGATTGCATGGCCGCAGACTAACACGTTACAGTTGCTTTATTGTGGAGTCATGAGCTCTGCGCGCAGGAATATGGGGCCAACGCAAAGCTCAGAGACGATGGGGGGCTGCTCCCAGTTCACACCGCCACTCGTTGATGCAACCACCAGCAGACCGGCCTTTTTGTGCCCATCTATCCGCGTAAAAAAAACAGACTGCTACGCTTCGTGGTCGACTTCACCGATTTCTGACACGGTGCGGGTGTTACCTGCCATAAGCGAGTAGCTGCCGAGATGTTCCCACATCTCCCAGGCGGCCTTCCGCGGCCGAGACGAAGTTTTGCGGATGCTCATCTCCCAGGACCTTTGCCTTTTGCTCGCTTCTGGCTCTAGGGGATGGTGGATGGTCCGTGGTGCTTGTGCCGTTTTATGGGGATAGGCAGCACGCTTCGCCAGGATCCAACTTCTGCCAATGCCGTAGCTGCGGATGGATGGACCCCCCTGTGGCCCAAACTTGCACTATGAAATCGTGCTTGGCATGCCATGCAATTCTTGCACGATTCTCCCAACCATTTGCGGGATGTCTGCGGTGCTTTACACGAAAGGAGCACCCTGTTCATTTGATCCCGCTTGGCCCCCGTCACCAGCAGTCTTAGGTTCTGCTGTTGTCTTTGAAACTTTGATTGACCCAGCATTTTAGGCATTTTGCCAGTCACTGTGGCCATGTCGCCGCCACAGAGGCGCGCCTGCCGATGCCTTGTCTTCGCTTTTTCGAGCGCAGAGGAGTTTCCCTCATTTTGCAGGCACTCCTGGAGTGCGGAGCTTATGCCCATTCTGTCGACAAGGTGCGAACGTGACGAGTTCGGGGCGACCTGCCAGTTCCATGCCCTGTGAGGAGAAGCGGACGGCTCTGCACTGCGCGGCCGCTTCCGGCTCTGAGGCCACCTGCCAGGCCTTGCTGCGCGCAGGCCGCGGTCTGGGCCCGTCGCCAGAAACCCGACACGCTTTGGCGACCCGAGAGGCGCAGACCTCGAGTGCATGGACCAGCTGAAGAAGTTGCCCGTCCACGTTGCCTGCGAGGCCGACATGACCCGACATGATGCATGTGTTGTGCGGCTCTGTCCCGCCAGGAAGGCTGCATCCAAGTCGTCCGCTTTCTCCTTGATGCTGGCAGCCCGTTCGACACGTTGGATGGCCAGCGAAGGACATCCGCCAGTGGCAAACAGGCGCACGAAACAGGAACTTTCAAACTTTCAAGTCCTCGGGAGGACGCCGCTTTTGATCGCCACGCGGGCTGGCAACCTGGAGCTTTGCGAGGCCGGCCATTTCTTTCTGCCCGTCTTGGCAAGATTCTCTCGTCGTATCTGCTAGCAAGGTCCTCCTGAGTGCGGGTGCCGACCCCAACACCGGCGACATGGCGAGGGGAATCCCCAGTGCCCTGGCGCTGGCCCGGAGAGGCCATGCCATCTGCCGTCCCGTCGAGCTACCACCGCGCTCCGGCCTGATGTCTTCAGGTACGAACCCAGCCCTGCGCGGCCTCATTGAGGAGCACACCACGGCTGCCTTGATTCGAGTCTGTGACATCGGTGCTTGGGACGGGGTGACCCCCCAAAAAACACTGTCAGGAGTATGCTCGTGCTGCTGCTGCTGCATCGGCCGCCATGCCTTTGGCTGACGCTGACAAGGCATGGCAGCGCACAGGGTAGACGGGGAGGCACATCAGCTGAGGCACGCAAGACCACGAAATACCACCATCGCCGGCTAAGCCTGATGGAGAGTTGTCGAACTTTGGGGTGTAAAGTTGCAATCGCAAACATGGGGCTTACTCACCGACTCACGGTAGCCGCCGTCTTGCATGCATGCTTTCTGCCCGCTTCGGACAGTTGGAAGCCTGGTGTGCACGGAAGTTTCTAGATTCTCCTAGAACTTTTAAGCTAAATCTCTGAGTCCAGTTCCCTGCATTGCTGCTTGTGTCCTTGCAGTCACCGCCGGCGGGCAACGAGTCCAAGTCGACTCTGCCCGAGGCGTGATGCAGACAGGCCGGCAGCTTCGACTCTGTCGGGGCTCCTTTTGTAAACGGCTTCGGCAGAGTCCGTTCGTGTCACTGCAAGCCAGGTGCCGCTACACGTGGTGATCCACCTGACTGAGGCGAAGACCTTCACGTGAACATGGGATCTGTCGCAATTCAGCTTTGCTCATTTTTTGGGTCGAGCAAAAGCACTCTGGCCTCGAGCCTGATGTCTTTGTGTAGGTTGGCCGCCCAAGAGCCTCAATCTCAGAAGGACATCTTCCCTGTAGTTGTGCCCGAATACCGGGGACCCCTTCAAGGGTTCAGATCGTATGCTCATAAAAGTGACTCATAGAAGCTGGGCTTACAGTCTGACCCCTTCGGACGAAGGGACAGTGAGGAGATCCTTCTTCATTGTCTCGTGATGACTGTAGATCCCCAGCTGTGAAGCGAAACGCAAAGAAAAGTTAAAATGTGCTGCAGGTTGCCGAGAGGGCTTTAAAGCTTTTTGATTTATTCCCGCCTTGGCCCTTCTGTCCGCGAGCATTCTGTCAGTGGGTCGTTAGAGCTTTTGCGGGTGTTGGTGACGGGTTTTTGGGATAGGTGCCAGGGGCAGAAGTGGCGCCGCTCCCTTTCGGCTCTCAGCGCCCCAGACGCCCTGACGTTCTCACAGTCTGGGCCCTGGAGTCCCAGGGATTATCTGTGACACTGCAGTTTCTTCTCAAGGTTCCGTGCCCCTCTTGTCGCCAAGCGGAAATGGAGGAGCCACGTTCCCAGAAGAAATGCCCTTGGCGGGGCTGCTTCGGCAGCAGTCCTCGCAGCACACAGCGGGGGAAAGCGCGTGAGAATAGATGGGTTGCACCCCAATGCCAAGTCAGGTGGAAGCTCGACAGGAAGAACATCCGCGCGGGCAGCTTCAAGTGGCATGCGGACGAGTTGGCAGCTCAAGCTTTTCATGGCCGATGGCAGTGGGAGCGCAAGCTTAGCTGATGCATGCCGGCAGAAAGTTCGATTCTTCTTTTTCTCAAAGGTACTATGCACGAGGGGACAACAAGCCAAGAGCCCAGCCCAGGGTCCACGCGCCCTTTACAGCAAGACGACTTTGTTTGACACAGCTATGGTCCGGGACCTGAGGCCAAAGCACATGTACTCGCCGGACTGGCTCGACGTGGAGATGAAGACTCATCATGAGAAAGCCCGCGGCGTGCTTATCTGTGCTGCTGGAGGCAAATTGCCTTCACAAGTCAGGCCGAGGTCTGTGTAGGATCCTTCAATGTGGATCGGAGCTGACACGAACTCGAGGTGGAGGGACGGGCACAATCAAGATCAATCCTCTTGAAGGCCGGTCCAGCGCCAAGCTCCAAGCCTGCATGACGTGTCTCCAACGCCGTACGACTCCGTTCTATCCTCACTTCGACAGTCCCGGTGCTTTTGAAGCGAAGCCAAACTGCTCGAAGACTGCGCCTACGCATCACATCAGCAACTGTCCACAGAGAATGTCCCTCGTTTGGGGACCCACGCGCCAGCATGCGTCAGCGACAATCACCATGTCTTAGCGGGCTAGCCTGCAAGCCTCATGCTTGCATGCTGCGTTGCTGGATGCTGTGCGAGCTGGAGCTGTCTCCTGGACTTTCTGCCAAAGAGCGTGAACCTGGAGGGTGCTGGCCGCTTCTCAAAGGGGTTTCGAACGCACGAAGGAAGATAAGGAAGGAGAGACGATGCAGCAGCCTGCCACGTGCACCCGGGATGTCTGTCTGTGGGAAGTGAGGAGATTGGAGAGTGACCGTGTTGTGTCTTCCCCCCAGAATCACAGCATCTGCGAGTTGGGCAGGGTTGCAGGCAATCTGGAGAATAGCTACACCATGAAAGAATGCCAGATGACAGAACCCGTGGTCTGGCTAGCACCCAGGGCGAGGCGTTGCGATGCAGGTCCATCATCTCCCAAGCCGAGCTACGGATTCTTCGAGCCCGATGCGTCCCTGCGGCCCAAGCTTTGCTCTCGGAACTAGGGGCAGGGGAGGGCAGGGGCCGTGGAAGGATCAAACATGCTGCAGACGACTTGTTACACAGGTTTCTGCAAACCCTTTCCATTTGCTCTGCGAGGTCTCCGATCGCCATGGATTTGGGATGGCAAACACTGTTCTGAGCACAGCATGACACGGCAGTCACCGCCCTGCTTGTGTTAGGCATAGCACATCTGGTGCCTTAACTCATGAAACAAGGTCTGGGACGCAGCCCTTGGCCAACACATTGAACAAGAGGAGGCTGCACATCCAGACCCAGATTCTGCCTGCCGGAGCATGCACGCAGAGACATGACACCTACATGCGTGCACCTAGACCTATAGTCCTACACACATATACATTTTCGTGCACCTACATGCACTCACACACACATCATACTTCGCTGCAACACCCATGCAATGCACACACACACACACATATGTAGACACGTGCGCCGGCACACACACACACACCTACTTGTACTTTGTACGCAGCTTGTACATACAAACTAGTATACATATACACCTACACAACATACATCTACTTCTTTGCGTATACGTACAGATATACGGTGTACCTATACATATGCATAAATAGATAATTATGTTTGTATACGTATATATACACATAAATATACAGTTAGATACATGCACACGCCTGTGCACGAACACGCGCAGACACGCGCACGCGCACGCGCGCACGGACGGACGCGCGCGCGCGCAAGGACGGACGGACGCACGGACGCCGCATATGCTTACATCTGCAGTATACATGTACTTTCCCTTGTACTTTACCAATACCCACACGTATACACATTTACGGACACGCATCTATGCACGCATGCATGCATACGTACATATGTGCATACATGCGGACAAACAGTAACAGACAGACAGGCATGCATGCCTGCCTTCCTGCCTCGCGCCTTTCTGTTTGGAAGCTGCCTGCCCGTCTATTTGACAGCAACACCTTTCTCCACCTACTTGTAGCCATTTACTTCCATATACTTCACAGCAGGAGCTTGCTTCGGAGACAGCGGCTTCGTGCACGCCTACCCACCTACTTCTTACCCACCTACCCGGCCGCCCGCCTGCCCACCTGCCCACACCCACTCCAGCCCTGCCCCACGCCGCACATGCCAGCACTGCAACAGGCCCGCGTCCGCAATGACGCTGACATCGCCTGGCCAGGCTGAGAACATCCGCACAGGGAACATGTCAGTGCGATAGGCGATAGAATCGTTGTGAAAGCGACGTGGAAGTCAGGAATTGGGTGCGACCTCCCCAACTGCCAGCCCGAAGGCAGCAGCTTAAGATCATGCGCTTGAAATAAATCGGAAGCTCGTACAGCATCGTACAACTGAGATTGCACAGCCGTCTGACGTCAATCTGATATGCTGGCATTTGCCAGGGGCACCTGGTGAGCGCCCTGCTCTCTCCATCACGGGCGGGGCAACTGCTGGGATCATCTCTGCTTTTTGCGTTGGGATGTAAGCTGTGGCAGGCAAACGGAAGAGCCATGACCGCCATTCCAGGCTGAGTGCTAAGCAACCCCTGGCTTCTGCTCTCTTAAAGCTTGGCAGACCTGGCCAGGGCCACGAGGCATGGCGCGCAATGCGAGCAGTCCGGCAGAGACCTTCGGTCTCAGCTCACCCAACCGTTTGACGCTGCCCTCGCCGCACTCGCCAATGGGCCGGGAAACCCAGGGGCCAAGCCTTGCCCAAAGCCTCGGGCCGAGAGTTTGGAGCTGAGGACGTTCGGAGCAGGACTTCGACCGCCTCTGTGGCGTGGGACGCTCTCCTTCCCAGCCGCTGCATGACCGCCGACCTGGCCCTTCAGACTCAGCCCTTCTGAGTTTCTCCTACTTCTTTGACACCGCAGGAGACCGCCTACTGTCAACCCTCTCGGCTGCGCAAGGCCTGCATTGGGGCTGTCTGCTACAAGGTTTACAGTAAGGACCTGGATCTGCGACGCCGCCTGCAGCTTCCCCGCCACTCGGAGGAACGCTCGACCTCCAGAAACTGAGCTTTGGCAGAGAACCATGCCCCTGCCTCGGTCTGCGGAGGCAGATGAGTTCAGTCTCTGTGCGCGGGCAAGTCACTATAAGCTGTCACGGAGCCTGGAATGCCGCAATGCCGGTGCCAGCGACGACATTTGTGCCGGCTCAATCGGGCACCTCACGTAGGCTTCATGCACCAAGCCAACAGACAGTCTGAGTCATCACCATCAAGGCAATGATGGAACATGATGAAGTAAGATCCGATCGTCTGTGTTCTCGAAGGCACGGCAACCAAGACAGCTCACACCCCGAGTTTTTCTCAGAGCGCAATAGTTCCGCCCGGCTTCGCTGGCCGTCCACCTCCAGGGCCTCCTGGAGCTCCTAAGTCGCTTAAGTGACTCATCTTGAGCGGATTCCGGAAGCTTCGAGCATTTGGGCAGAGTTCGCAAAGCCTGGCTCGCCTGCGGTTACACTACTTTCGCAGGCGTTCGTTTTCGATTTTGGTTTGGCGTTTAATCCAGCTGTAGTCGCCCCGAGTGGCTGGTCTGTGCAAGGCCTGCTTTCCTTCGGAAGTTGCACGAGCATTTCCCGGAGTGCCTAATTGCGGAAACTCTGTAATTAGGCCAGGGAGATGCATTCAGCAGGTTGATTCGAAAGATTTCTAGACAGACTCAAAATTTGGCCGTAGCAAGCTTTGCCAGCATGTGCTGCAGAGCCGGAGACCGGCCAACGCTTGGTAACTTCCTTTCTCTTAGCTGTGACAGTTGACAGCTTCCGCACGACCTGAAGCCTAATGATTTCTAGGTTAGTACGTGTCTGCGCTCTGTTTTCGAGGCATCGCCCAGGGTATTGCCACACGCTACCTGTAGCTTAGGCATGGCCGCGGCAGGCGTTCAGCTACCACAGACTTTGCAGGCTCCACTGTGCGGAGATTTGCATCACCGGAAAGGTGCCACACAAGAGTCCAGGAAGGACAGCCATGCAACAATGTAGATCACAGATCACTGTCGGCTTGAGTTGTGCTGCAGTGGTGTGAGATGGCAGGGCGAGGAGCAGGTGCAGCGCCTGGACACGGACTCGCCAGACTAAAGTGATGGATTGGGGACCTCTAGAATCGCGAGAAAGCATGAGAGCTGACCAACAAAGGCTTCGGATCTTCAGGGGGGGATAAATGGGAATGAGTGCAGTGCCAAGGGTCGGTTTCTCGATTCCGCCACCGGACCATGACACTTTGCATGCCCGAAGGAGATCGGCCGCCTCAGCCAGGAGATGGGTTCGTAGCACAGACTTTGCATGATGCAGCTTTGTGGCTTTGACTGCCGTGCCTGACCTTTTTTTGAGCAACTACTAGTATGTCTACGAGTTTGTTGAAGCAAATGCGGACCTTGCAGGAGTGGCGGCAGAAGCGCGACTCCTTCCGCGCTCGCACCTCCATGGTTTCGCCGGATGAGCAGTTGTGCCTTGGCGAGAACAAACTGCTTGCCGGTGTAGGATATCACCCCCAGATCACCCCATCGTTTTTTTCTTAACTGGCGCTCCTTGTGACTGGTGGTCTGACGGATCAGCGCGATGTGTAACTGTGCTGCATACAATTTTTGAGAGAGATGCGAATGCCGGTGCTGTGAGTCACCGTGGAAAGCGCTTGCACCTTGAGACATATCGATCACCTGCATAGATCTTAATCTTTGCCACAGGGTAGCTGCCGCTGCAAATGGGCGAATCCAGGACGGCTTCAAAAGGGCTTCGCTTGGGACTTGGTAAGATGTGTTAAAGCAAGCTAGTGGCTAGCTGAAGTCAGCCGCAGGAGTGCCGCCAGCTACTCCAGCGTGGTGCAGCTGGCCCGGAAGCGACGTCAAAGGCAAGATGCCAAGTTTTGCAGTGCTTTGAGCCTGTGCCCGTCGCTCTTGGGAAGGTGGGCCAGTCAGTTGCTCGGTGGCAGTGACCGAGTTCTTGGAGCTTCGGACCTAGCAGCCTTGTCAAGTTGCCAGCTATGGCATCTTGCAAAGAGGCGCTGATGGCGGCAGCGCGCGCTGGAAGTGCAGAGGCCGTCTCGCTCTTGCTGGCCGCCCGTGCAGATCCCAGGCTGGTGAGCATGCTTCCTCCAAAGATCCAAAGCACTTGCCTTTCCCGGGAGTTCCGCACGCGGCGAGCGCCGAACCACGGCGCTGCATTCAGCCACGGAGCTCGGCCATGGCAAGACACTCTGAGCGGAACGGGAACGGGGAATGTGGAGCCATCGCTGTTTCAGCCAAGTTTGGAAAGCATTGCCTTGAAGATCCATCGACTCAAGTTGCACTGTAGAGTCTCGCAGTCGCTGAGCTTAGAGGCTTAGCCTGGAGCTCCAGGTCGAGAGCAGGATAGACGCAAACAACACGCAGGGGTGGACTGACGGGGCATAAGAAGGTATCGGTGTAAGAACCACGAGACATCTCAGGATCTGCCTGGCTCTCCTTTCTGCCCGGGCGGACCCGGAAAAGGCAGATGCCCGCGGAACGACACCAGCTTCGATGGCTTCCGACAAGGAGGTGGAGCTTAGCGGGCCGAAATGTATGTAAATGTATGTAGGCCTGCCTGTCGCATGACTCCTCCCGTGTCGGTCTTCGTCTTATAAGGTCTGGGTTGTGTGCATGGGTATGTTCAGCTTTTCTGAAATCTGGGCCTGGCAACCGCGTCTGGTCCCCAAATTATAAAATGTAGGCAAACGCGACGAAGTGACTGCACACGCCTGCGAGCGAGGCCCTGTGGCCACTGTTTGCAGCAGCCGGCTGCGAACGGGCGCCGCAACTTGCCGCACCATTGTCAGTACGTAATGTCAACTTTTTTCGTGCGAGACGTTTGTACAGTTGGAACTTGCTTTGAGGCCTCAGTCGTCGCTGAGTTCAACAACTTCTCCGGAGCCGTGGCGGGGGATGAAGTGGATTGCTCGGCACATCGAGGTAGTACGTCATGCAGATACATTTGTTTCGCTTCGAAGTCGTGATGTCAAAGCCTCCAAGCTTCTCTCATACACTCCAGCTGCTACTGGAGCTACGCTGGCTTGATCCAAACCGTGATGCAGGAGTCGACGATGTGCTCGACGTGTGTTGCCCAGTGCAACCGCAGTAGCCGACAAGGGTTGCAATGTAAATGTTGGTCTTGGGCAACTTTGGACTTTGGAGTAGTCTGACAATATATTACAGCACGAGCGGTCACCTCACGTAGTATTGAATTGTGGCGTACAGAAGTAATTTACACCGTATGTACCTGTTTGTGTCGGCATCGAGCCGATGGTTTGATGCATAGACCAGAGACTCGACACCGCTTGACTTCACTCTAATCAAGTCTATAGTCAGCTTCAGGCGACCAAGCTCGGGCCACAGCACTGTGCGGACTCCGGGCTGCAGTGGGAGCCATCACCTGCCTTGGTCCGGGCCGAGTCTGGAAGCTGCAAGGACTGCTCGTGCGTTGCCAGTGGCTCCCATCGACATCTTAGCCTCGGAGCTCCTTGGCCTGACACTCCTCGGGGATCCTTTTGAACAATGTCCCGTTCAGCACCTGAGCCGAGGTCTGTCGGTCCTGGCCTTGAAGCCGCCTCAAATTCATCACAGCTCAGGTCCCTGGGCCTCTAGCTCTCGTCAGAGAACGCCCAGTAGCGTCTGGAGCCGAAATGGCACCAGAAGTGAGGAACCGCCAAACGAGCTTCGTGGACGGAAGTTGCCATACAGGGTCAAGCCCGGCAGTCTTCACGTCACTCAGTCCTCATCTCTTCAGCACTGCGTGACGGATGTATTACATGGAAGCGAAGCTCGACCAAGTCGAACGAATGCAGCTGGTGCCCGAAGAGCGGGAAGCCTGAAATGCAATTCGCGGGCGACAAAACTCAGCGCGAGTACTTTCCCCCTGTAGCCTGACCTGTCTGCCATGATAGTATCGAGTGTCAAATATGACTTAAATATGACGCATAGTGAAGATTGCATGATCGCACGGCTGAAACGTGCGAACCTTTTAACATCAGTACACATCGCAACGTTACCAGCTTTCTGCAGTGCCCACTTCTTCTATCGGCCCAGGATGGGCAGAGAGCATCAGTCTCAGTCCCCCTTGCCGAAGTCGGTGGGTGCAGGGCTGCTTGTGCTTCGCAACATCTGCATCTTTGATGTCGTCCATGATGGGGTTTTCAAGTGGGTCAGCAGATCTTGCCCGCTGCAGGCGAACTGTTTCGGCAGGCGTGGGCGGCAATAATGTAGAGCTTGCACAGCCAGATTTCCCACGGGCGCAGCAATAGTGTACTGTAGTTGGCCGAAGTGCAGCATGCCCCTCGGAGAAAAACACGTACCCGCGCATGGGTGTTTTGCAAGCGCACCTTGGGAGATCTGGTGCAACTGTCTTCTTATCCATCCGCCTGACAAGATGTACTTAGCTTCGTTGAAGCCTCTGTCAGAAGCAGGGCAGACAAATTCCTGGATGTGTTGGGTACCGGCACAAATTAAACTCATCGGTTCTTCAGTCCTTTCAAGGAGGGCTTGAAGGATCATCATGACGTTCCGATCTCCACAGGCCTGTCTCCTCGAAAGGAAATCTGAGTCCGTTCAGCATTTGGTGGTTCCATTCTTTTAGGGGGGACTGGCTCTGCCTTGAGTGGAGTTAGCTGTCAGCTACGGAGTATCAAATGGAATGAGTATCACTCCTGGTCACTTGAACTGCGTACCATGCGACGCTGTTCTTGAGACCGGACCATTTAACATGGCATTCTGGGTGCAACGCTCGCCTTGGATGGATCTGCCCGGCAGCACGCTATCCACATGTCGCGGGGTTTTAAGCGCAGTTGTGCGCGTTGATATCTAGCCCATGCTTATGGCTTGTGCTTCCATAGACAGCCCGCTCACGTTCCATAGAGAAGCGTGCATTTTCTGGGCAGGTCAGAAGGTCATCAGGTAGACCTCTTTACGCACCCGGTAAGACTAAGACTCCAAGAATCTCCAAGATTCGAGAAGTCCTCAGTTGGCTCCAAGACCGGCTTCTTGTTTCCACGGGGAGAGAGTTGCACGTGCTGTCTCTACACTTCTCAAACACGGTTAGCCGCGTTGGGGCTACCGTGCTTCGGCTCACAACTCCAAGCTCACGCGCGTGCACGCGTAAGTGCTCCGTCTCTCTCCCCGCCCAGCCGTTCTGCAGGCTGTGTGCACAGGCATTTCTGTGGCCACGGCCTGTTTCTGCACTTGTTACTGAGGAACCTTTAACAACGAGGGGACACGAACCAGTACGAACCTTGCTACATTGCTGTGAATTCATGGCTTCCCGATTGCAGCATTTGAATCTGACCTTCCGCAGCCATATGCCGCGACCTGAAGTCAGCACTGCTGGTTCGTGATTGGGTACGTGTCTCAGGATTGACAGACCCAAACTTCGCAAGTAATGGTTGTATATCTTTGAGGTCGAACAGCGTTGTCGTGTTTGTTGACTGCCAGCGCCGCCACCACTCGGATTGCTGACAGCTTGCAGTGACAACAACATACTTACTCTCTGTCAGACTTGTGGCATGCGACTACCTATCTGCTGTCGGCTGGCTGGTCGTCACGACCATTGCTCGCACGAGTGGAGACAGGACCGGCCACAAGTGGCTGGCCAGAGTACCATGACGTGTGTGGCTGGGCTGTGAGGCTGTGAGGTGATCTGAGCACCAAAGGCGACTCGGATCTCGGCGCCAGAAAAGGAAGTGCTCTTCAGGGCCATACAGTTACCATCACAGTGCTCAACTGGCAGCAACAGACGGGAGCCTCGCCGCTTTGGTCTCAAGGCAAGGCAAGGGCTGAGGTGCGGTGACCTCAGACGCCATTGAACGGGCGCAGCCCGCCCACTGAGTAGCTGCGCACATGGACTGCAGAAGTAGACGTGCTGCAATGGTCACCGTTCGACATCGCTGGGCAACCGCCTGTGGCTTACGAAGTCTCTTGAGGACACGTTTCTGTGGCTTCGTGCTTAGATCTTTGGCACGTATGTCCCATATTCAAGCTACCCATTGAGCTCCAGTTAAGCCTGTGTACAAAAAGCTACCCGTTGCACCGAAAGTTGACTCACTGGGGTATCCATCTGCATGTCTCTGCGGTGAGTCCCGGGGTAGGTGAACAGGCATGGGCGCACATGGCTGTGCGAGGGGCATGATGTTCTCGGCTGCAGACGGTGATAGTTCGTGACAGGAACTGTTGGCGTTGAACGTGGACTCAGGCCTCCGGGTTGACGTCACGTGGTGCAGGCAAGGAGAACATCGTCCAGCCCTGCCCTCAGAGTTACGAGCTGGAATTCCCTGGTCGACAGATGAGGGGGTCTTGTCACGATTTCGTAGCTGAATTAGGGTGGTTGAGTCCCATGTTTGTGTTTGCTTGATGGAACACCTGTGCTCGCTCCACTTGCCGTCGCGACAGGAGCTGCCAAAGATTTGCAGCTCCCGAGGGTCAACAAGAGACACAATATGATAGCAGTGGATCCCCTGTCGCGAGATGTGCGACTGTTAGCTGTGCCAGACATTCCAGCTTCCAGCAGTTCTCCTCATCTTTCAAGCTGCAGACAAGACGACAGCTCTTCGTCAATGCCCATCGCTCGCTCGAGAGTTCCGCTGCTGCTGGCCTTGGGCCTCGCGGCACCCAGCTGCCGGAACCCGCTCTTCCCCGTCCACTGGTCCAGGGTGGGCGGCAGGGGCTCAGAGCTGTCGACTGCGCAGAGGTTTCTGTCGGCCTGAGACTTCCGTCCTGCAGGAATGCAGCCGCATGTGCCCAAGCCTTCTCAACGGGGACACAGCAGTATCTGAGAACTTGACTGCTTGCCCCCACTGGAGTCTTGACTGAAGTTTGTACTGCAGCTAGGCCTTGGCTAGGAGGTATAAATGAATTTTCAAAGTGATTTGAGACGTTGTCCAGGAATGGTCTGGCAAGCTGTTGTAGCACATCACTGGAGCCTGCGCAGCATCGTGCCTTTGATCCGTGGCTGGCACAGATTAGGCTGTGGAGGTTGTGGCGGTTGAAGTGGTCGTGGTGGCGGAGGGGCAAGTTTAGCGTCTAACGGTGGAGTCGTCGGTGTTCGCATTGATTCCTTTTGGGCAGCTGTTGCCTTTTTGGTTCTGATTGTGGCATGTCTTGCCAAACTGGCGGCAAGTGTGTGCCCTTTCACTTCGCGAGCACCCATTGTGACAGCACTCGCCCAGGAACACTGGAAACTGTCGCTGGGACAAATCATCGTGAGCTGGAGATGCTGCGACGCAATGAAGCAGAGCTCGTGTACTGGCTGAGCGTGATTTGCGCGAGGGTTGGACGCCATGAAGGTAATCGGAGAGGGCTGAGGGCTCAGGGGATCTAAACAGCGACCGAGACGGCACGTCAGGGCGGACAGTGACGATAAAGAAATATGCGACTGATCCTGTCGCGTCGGGGCAAGTCGGGCTTGTTTAGGGAGTTCTCTTTGATTGTCCGGGGCTGCAGTTGTCAGAAGCCGTGCCTGTCCATGAAAGGGCTGCTGTTTGACTTGAACTTTTCTGGCACAGGCTGTCAATAAACGGCCGCGTTGCTCTTCTTCTTGAAGCCGTTCAGGCCTTCAGCGTGGCCTTCATGCTAAATGAGAACTCATTAAGTATATTGTCCGCCTTGGCGAGTGCGCGATCGCAGTACAGCGCCGCAGCATAGCAAACATGTGGTTGCGTTTTTGTTGCGCCGATCCAAGATCGAATTGCAGCGTTGCTCAGGAAACTATGCGGCTGGAATGGCCATGCGACAGCTCACCAAAGTTTATCAGTACTCAGGCAGGCTGGCTAGCAGGGCTATATTTGCAGCAGTCTCTTAGAACTGTGGAGACATTGGAGACCATGGCAAGCCATTGTGGGCTACAGTACAAGTGCCTACATGTGCCGGTTGCCGCATGTTAACACGAGCCGATGCAGATCACGGGGGTCCTCAGCCTTTGTAAGATATTTACTTGGTGCGGCGCGCGCGCGTCTTATCGTGTGGGGCCTTCAATGACGAACCTGCCAGATGCTGAGATGCAGGCGCTGTTCGTTGGAGGCTTAGTTTGGAACATGCCCGTGTACTTGGATGTGAGCTGATGTTCAGCAGCCAGTGGCTTCGTGCTGGAGTAGCGGAAAGCCCTTGAGGATGAAGCACTGGCATCAGTGCAGCACAGCACAACCGCTCCTTGGCATTAGCCTTCGTTGTTGAGCCACGTCTCTCCCAGTCTGTTTGACCCAGGTTTTCGCCCCATGCCTTTCTGCCATGTTGCAGTATGCTGCTGGCATGCAGCTCGGAAACAGATTGACGAGCACACAGCTGTTTTACCGTGCTTCTTGGTGGGCACATTTGCGTCCTCACTCCCTGCAGGATTTGCTTCATGTGCGATCCGCAATGGGACTCTCGGAAAGCAATGTAGATTTCAGAATTGCCCCGCCTTCAGCCTCTACATACTAAGGAAACCTATCTTTACAAGGCAGATCAATCCGCAGAGGAGACTGCCGAGAAGGAGCAGTATTTGGAAGGTTGGGCTAGGTTGCATGCCAGTTGGGGGGCAGTGGCTTTGCTGAAATCGCACTGATTGAAAATTTCATGTGTAGATGCAGCACAATGGGTCGATGCTTCGCACATGTGGATGAGCCGATGCATCTGTGCACCAGCAGCACATGGAAGGATGAATCTGGTAGAGTCATGCAAAACCTACATGCAGCCTTCCATGTCGACTTGACCAGCAACTGCCCAAAAGGTCGACCAGGCGATGCCTCTTCCTGAGTGCCCCTAAATCCTGCTCCGACCGCAGAGAACCGAATGGGTGCTCGATTTGGGACAAGCCCAACAACCACAGCAGATCGAAACTGCCACTTTTCTTACTCTTTCCAGGCTTGCGTCTTCAGTGAAGAAGCGAAACCTGTGAACCCTATCAAAGCACCCAGCGTCCAGTGGCGTAGAGACCGCACGGGAGGTGCCAGCTACGATGCCGTGGCGGTGGGCTCCGGCGCCTGTGCGAAGCTTTGGGCCGGCTGTGCGGTGCCTCGTCTCAGGGCCCGGGGGCCAGGGGCAGGGGCTGCCCCGACTGCCCAACTCCCACTTGGCTCAAGTGTTAGGGCTAGGGCGAGGGCTAGACGTCTGATGCATACCGATGCTGATCAGGAATGGCTATGCTTGTCCTTTGTAATAATGCTCTTCTTTTCCGCATTTATCTCTGTGTTTGCGAGGCTTTCTCAGCGGCGGCGCGCGACGCCTGGGCAGCTCGTCAAGATAGATACGTTACGCAGAACATGTGGCCGTGGGCCGTGTTCCCTCAAAGGATCTCAAAAGGTCTGCGAACACGAACGATACATATACGGTGCAGCTTCAGGCTGAGTCCAAGCGTGACAAAGGCTAGTTGCGCTTGTCTTCCAAGGAGAAGGTCTTGCAGTGCCCCCTCGCCAAGCAGATAGAAGCTTGGCAGTCGTCGAGTCTTCCCCTTCGCGAATATGCAGTCTGATCACGCGAGTATCACGACAGAGCAAGTCCAATATAACATAAAACTGTACAATACAGACGTCGCTGCTAAGATCTGCTAAAGTCTGAGTCTCTTGTCTTCTCATGTGCCTTCCGAAGTTCCCAAGGAGCAACCTCTTCCGGATCTTCCACCTTTCTTTTCTAAGCCGCAGCTCTGCGAGTGGGCTCGGCACCTTGCCCGCAAGGAATCTGGTCCATAGCGCGACGCTGGACTCGACCCAACTTTCGTGCACCGAGGGCTGCCATCGCACTGCAGCCTCTGGCTGAGACATCCCGCAGCTTGCCCCAGCAGCGCTGCTTTGATCAAGTTGAGACCTTACAGGTTCCTTGCAGCATGCAGCGGCATGAGCCGGTTGGCAAGTGAACTGAAATGCCACCGCTTCAGGACTTCCAGAATTACCTTCCGCTGCTCGGAGTGCATGGAAGCACACTTGCCTGAAATCTGCGCGTGCTTTGAGCCAGCAGAAGCACATGCTATTCGTCCTAATGTGCGTACAGGATGCTACCACCACAAGTCTTTCCTCTGATGAAGAGAGTCAGAACAGGGAGAAGGAGGTGGACGAGCGCATCCTGGAAGAGGCACATGAGGCACCTTCTTTTTAAATGTGCTAGGCAATGTTGGCTCCTTGGCATGCTGACATGCATTGTGTCCGCCTGCTGTTTCCAGTTTGACCCTCTTGCCCCCCTTTGACCTTATTGCCCCGCTTGACCCTTTTAGCGTCCCCATTGCACAGAACTTGGAGCATGTTGCAGGACAACGTTGAAAAAGGGGACGATCCGTCAAGCAGAACTAGCCGCTCGCAAGAGTTGCATGGTTTTTTCGTGTCTGCCCGAGTGTCACTTCACTGAAGTCTCAGGCTCGCCCTATGCGTGGGGTCAGTGGTTTCTGGTGGCGGCCTTCCGGGAGCCTGACGAGGCCTACGGGCCTACTTGGGGCTTTGGCTTCCGGGGCTTTCAAACTGCATGGGTCTGGTGGCGACGCGAGGTGCTGGTTGCCAAAGCACCGGGTGAAGTCGGTACCTGGCCCAGCCAAGAAGTGCTGGTCTGCAGTTGTGCTCACTACATTCTTACATGGTGCGACTTCTCCTGCAGCAAAAGGAGCCTCGCTTATCTTCGACGAAAACTTGGGTGGAGGGGAGCTTGGCCGCTTGGTGAACTGTTGTGGAAATTGAAAGTGGGGCCATGATGATATTTCATGTCAAGTTAAACTCCAAATGCTTGGCCTGCCATCAAGGACGCGTAGTGTGTGTCGCCGCGACGAGTGTCGGTCATGGAACTCCAGCGGAGCTCTACACGGCTTCAGTGTCAGAAGAAGACTTGACGTGTCCCGATAAAGACGTAAGCATTCTTTTTGGAGTGCGAAGGGTCTATCATGTCGTGTGAGTCCCGGATTGGCTTCGGCGAGCGGTTCCTTCGAGTCTCAGGCTGGAGACTATCGTCCGCTACAAGTACAAGATGCTGCAAGGCCCAGCTTCAGGGACAGAGTGACCCGGCCGGGTGAAGCGATGGCGCTGTTCGAGTGCACGTCCTTAGGCAAGATCATCCTTTCGGCCGCGGTAGACGTCTGGCCGGCTCCAGCAGCCAAGAGGAGCTCTTGCATTTTCTATAGTGTCAGCATTGAATCTGAGGCGGACTAGGGTGGTCAGTATAAAGTTCGACTAAAGCAGCTCATGGCTTGCATGCACGATGTGTAGCCAATCGGCCAATCCTTGAAAGGAGGGTCGTTGGCATGGTTGCCTTTGGCGGATATTTGTTTGTGGCAGATGACGAGGGACACA